CTAGATTTAATCTTCACTGTTTGATCTCATTTCTGATCACGCTGAAAAACTTTTTGTAACGCTATACCTTTTACAAGTTTATTAGAGAAGCAGAGCTAGACAGAACATAATTATCTTGGTAACTGTTGTTTTGCAACTTATCACTTCTATAATTGACACTAGATGTAGATTTCACCCACTCTTCGATACTTAGAAATGTAAAACTATCTGCTTTTAAATGTCAGTGAACTGTTCATCCAGTGTACTACAATTGTAAAGACAATACAGACTTATTATCCTCTGAGCAATTTTATCTTACAGTAGCACAAATTATGCTGCTAGGAAGTGATTGCCATGCTGAAGTAGCAGCAATAAAAGTTTAACTAGAATCTCCCCATTGTAATTTGGTCAGTTGCCATGTTTGTATTCTGGAATTATATTTGATAATGTCCTATTCATCATTTCAGTCTTGTAATTAGTCCTTGTGAGGAGACCTCTGAGTCAATCAAGGGGCCCTTTCGACTCGTGGGCTGGATGGGCAGCACTCCCTCTGAGCAGCAGGGAGCTGCCCTAGTTATGCCTTGCTGTGGTTTGGGTGGGACTGCAGGAAAGTCTGTGAACAGTATTTCTGGGAGGGCTTTTTTGTGGACTGGAGTATTATTGGTGCTTTGGACATGTTATCTGGGCTGATTATGAAGAGACTGTGGTGGTGCTGGAGACCCTTCTGGAAGGCTCAGTACGGGCAGAGTGGAGAGAGGTCTTTTTAAAGTAGCATCAAGGTAACTCCTGAGAGAGTATGAGGGTATCCAAAAGGGCTGGAAGTGATAGATGCTGATCTGGAACCAATGTCATAAAACCTTACGTTATTTAAAACAAACACCAAACCCTCTAAAATATGCTGAAATATGTGAGTGTTAAATATGCTTAAAAAAAAAAAACTGAATGTAAAAAGAAAGAGGAGTCAGATTGAAAGGGAAGGAATTTGTAGAACTGCTGAGATAGATATATAAAGGAAAATATGTTCTAGAAAACAAGAGCAGAGTGTCCATCAGCAGGAACTGTTGTAAAATACAGCTAAAATGAAAAGTAGGGAGAGAGTAAAGAAGATAATGAGGAATAAACAAGTAATTTGTGTTGATATCTGAACTGAAATGAGATTACATGTATTAGTTATAAAATCCTCTTTCATTGTTATAAGATTATGTCAGCAACAGACAAAATTGAGTGAAGGAACGGGGGTAATGATTCACAGACTAAATATTTCTTCCTTTTGAATTTTTTCATTGATTGTGGACTTTTTGAATTATGATATTAAAAAACAAGTTGGTATTCATTGGTAGAGAGTAATTAATAGAAAATATTGCTGACTACCACTGTTGAGAATTGATGTAGTCTGCCATGGTACTGAATGACTCATTAATAACTGACTGGGTCATGTGTTGTGAATGATAAATCTTTATAATTTCAAGTGTCTGAAAACTGCTTTTAGAACTTTTGAGTTCTTTTGCTGTGTTTTTATGCAAATAAAGTTACAGTCCTGTACTCTCTTTATCCAACCAAAAGCAAACCAGGTCATGTCATGGTAGTAAGGAAATACCTCCATGAAATAATTGTGTAACCACGTCTTCAAGGGGGGAAAAAAATTCTTGTTCTTATTTACTCACCTGTTGTTTCTGAGGTGATTACTGGAATCACCATTTGCAGATAAGGAGTGTGGGAGAAAAAACTATTTGCCTTGGCTGGTGCTATGTGTAGCAACAACCTTAAGGATGGATGTTCTGGGCAAGTTTTGACTTAGCAGTGGCAGACTAGTGAGACAGTCCAGGACAACAAAGAGGTAACAAATTAATTCTGTCATTAGATGAATGCCATGTTCCTTCAGAACTTAGCAAATACAGTGACAATCTGTCATTTCTGGTTATTGGCACTTTCAGTGCTTATGAAATGCTATCTACCAACTGTGGTGTCACATGATACCTTAAGACTTGTCATCAGCCTGGCAGAGCACTCTTACCACCGTTACAAAGCTGCTGCTCTTTGCAGCTGGGCAGGAAGGCAATGCTCATATACAGTCTTTGCTATGAGTTTTAGGTTTGGGCTTCTGAGTTGTTGCCCATTAAGAAGTGCAGGCTATGGATCTAGAGGGTCCTGTAACAACGACTTGCAGGGGGTTGGGTTTGTGGAAGAGGAACCGCAGCCCTGTTTTCCTGCCCTTTTGCTGTAAAGCCTCAGGGATTTGCCCTCATCCTCAGATTTGTGCACCTAATGCAGAAATCCAGAGAGAGGAAATAGCACTGGAGAGCTATGAGTGTGAAGGTGGGCTGTGGCTCATCAGTGGAGGTTTGACATGGTTAAAAACCCCTAGCTGGGTAAACTTCTCAGACTAGACCTATCCCATTTCCCAATTGTGTGAGGTGCATGTCCTTGCAGTAAGGAGCTGCTCTTAGTCCCTGAATAGTTGCATTATAATTTGAGTTGAGCAAAATCTGAGGTACAGAACACTTGAGATAACTGCCATGGCAGTTTTGGAGAGAAAATACAGTTATAGGTGAAACAGTTCTTCAGTGAATGATTTAAGATGGCAGAGGTGGGTAAAGTCTAACAAATGTGAAACCTTTAGCTAATATAATGAAGAAATTGGGCTTGAGTTGTGTAAACATAGGCATCTAATCCTACTGAGATGCTCTAGGATGTCTGGCATCCACTTACCAGCAGGGAATGGGCAGTGTCAGACCTGCTAGTCATAGGAGAAGCCTTAGGTATCCCATGGGGCACTACGTGCTATAAAGTGTTTATGTAGCTGAGTCAAGACAGAATCTGCATGTCCATAACGCTGCCTGTCTGCAGTGCACTTCATGATGTCCCATTCTGTGTCACTGTTCCTGTAAAGACATGCAGGCACATGAAAGTCAATGGGAAGACACGCCTGGAATCCATAATATGATGCTCTTTCTAATTTACATTCCTTTCTGAAGAACCAATTGCACAATTTGGCTGCAGTGGCTGAGATTTTGTTTCTGGTGTAATGAGAATTCCTAGTTCTTGGAATCTGCAGACCTATGATGTATAACATCTAAAAGAGTGCTCAGCTACATGATTAGCTTCCTGAATACATAATTTGCTCCTCTTGTGTTTCTTTATCTTTCTTTCTACATTGCTTCACCAGTTTCTTTTTTCTTTTTAATTAAAAAAAAAAAAGTTAGAATCATTTGTGTATTCTGATCAGACCCTGAAATGGGTCTGCTATTTTAAATTTGAATTTTTAAAAGTTGGGTTTTCTAAAATGTTTTAGCGCTTGAAATTTAATATTTTGATATCAAAGCATCTGAAGACTGTGCTACTGATAAATTATTAAATGAGTAATTCTGCTGAGAGAGGTTGCCAGATTACCACCTCTGCGAAGCTTTTTTGTAGGAGACTGTGGGTAAGCCTGTGTTAGGATGCAGTCTTTGCCAAGAAAGAGCTCTGATCTGTAGCCATGGATTCTAGCTCATTGGAATGTGCAGCAAAATGTTCTTTTTGGAAGACTTCTTGCATTGCACTCTTCCCACTGTTTAGTGAACATTAGACCAAACGTCATTTTCTGAAGGGTCCTGTGATTGCAACAGTACTGTACATTTGGTAATATTTGGAAATGCTGCAGTCATTTCCCTTTCCCCTGAGGCTGCAAGCTCCCAAACATCCTCATCTGCCCTGTAATTGGTGATAAACATTTCTGCTCACAATCTGTTTAAATCTGTTGTCTACAGTACCAAGTTCTGCACAATTGTTCGTTGCTACACTTAGAGACTGCCTGCCATTTATTTTTTGGGACTTAAAAGTAGAAATATCTAGAGTTAAAATGGAAGTACAAAATTGATTGATTGAGAGAACTTGAGAGGAAAACCTCCTCATAACTTTTTCTCTGAAGTCTGTTGATTGTACAATGAAGAGACATTGTATGTTCTCACCACCCATCTGTGCTGAAAATATTATCTTGTGTTATTCTTACAGTTTTGGTTTGATTGACTCTGATTATAAGCAGATTTTTACTTTGTTTTATAGGTCTGATCTGCAATCTGCATTTTTTTATTCTATGCTTACCAACTATATACTAAGAGTGGATGTAAAACTCATGAAAACAGCATTATAATAATAAAGTATGAATTTCAAGGCTATTATCAAGAATGGAGGCCAACACGGCTCATATTTACAAAGAAAAAATTATATAATTGTCAGCTCTTTTAAAAACAAAACAAAACCCAATAAACCCCCAGACCATCTGTTCAGTACGGTTGTTTTCTTGGGTGCCTCCATAGGTCAACAGTTTCCAGGACTGAATACACTTAATTGCTATAGTGGTTTTATTAATCTGCATTTTAATCTTGCCAAATTTAATGTTTGAAGAGTTGCCTACTTGATTTTTTTAATTTTGTTTTTAATCTTAAATAAATAAGGGAAGAGACAGAATTCTGCCAATTTAGCTATTTCTAAGTTTTTTACCTTTTTCAACAGTAGCTTTGAATGATTAATGTGAGCAAATGCCTTTTAGTTTTGTCTGCCAGTGGAAAAGTGTACCTGAGCTCGTTCAAGTGCTGTTAATGAAAATGATAAAAGCAGTGATTTGTTATTGCTGCTGCCATTAGTTACTGTTTTATGAATCATATGATCTGATGAAATACAGTGTTATTGCCTTGCATCTGGTAACACAAAAGAAAAATCAAGCAAGAGAAAGATCTGTAGCAGTCCACAATAAATCTATTTTGGGAAAAGGACCCTCTCTTCTTCCAGCTGGGAGCGGGGGGGAGAATGTGTGGAGTGGACTTGGGAGATAGGAAACCAACCTCCCAAAATCAACCTTTTAGTTATTTCTAGAAGGAAGGGGGAAGATAGTGCCTCATGAATTCTAGTATCAACAGAACAGTTGAATGGATCAGTAATAATATTCATCTATTGCCTGATTTCTCCTGTCTACTTAAAATCTGAAACACTTGCATACCAGAAGAACCCTTTCTAAATTTTCAACCATTTCTTTAATTTACCATTGAATTGTTGCCATTAGTTTGAAGACTGGGTTTGAGTTTTTGGTAGAACTGTGATTCAAGAAATCGTGGATAAGAATCTCTTTCCATGTGCATGTAAATTATTCTCTGTGCTTCATCAAAGCAAGATTGTGTTGGCTCTTGAATATTCCTCATGATCCTGTTCCTCACAGGACTGTCAATGTTAATCTGAAACAGAAAGCAACACCACTAAGGTATCTCTGAATATGTTCAAAGGAAGGGGAAGGATTATTGAATTTGGGGGATCTGTACTGAATGCCTTCTATTTATGTCTTTTTATGTGTTTTATAATCTAAAATCAGAACTGAAAACAAACCTTTCATTTGCTAAGAGTTGTTCCTAGACCTAGGATTAGATTCTGTAGGAGGAAGCCTGACTTTTGATTTCTAATGAGTCCAAGTGTCTGAAGGTGCACGTAACCAGTGAAAAACAATGTCTAAAATTGTTCTGATCTCTGAGATAGATAAAACTGAGCCTGTATACCAACCTTGTTTAGGAAAAGTTTTAGCTCCTAGAATTTTTCTGCTGCAATCCATGGCTTGTAACAGATAAATTGAAGGTCTGCAGGTGTGTAACAGCAGAAGGGTGTAGTGATCAGCAAATACACCAGGGAAAAGGAAATGTCTGATAATCCATCAGCTCGTGATGAATTACATTGTTTATTTTCAGCTTCACTTTGTCTGTTAGTGTTGAGGGGAGATTTGGTTAGTGCTGATGTCTTTCATGGGTCGAGATCTTGCACTTCCAGAGGAGTCATTTGAGTGACACCTTTATATATGCTGCTGAAATCTGAATATAAACGGGTTTTAAATGCTCATGAGCATCTAGGTTTTTTTTAGAGTGGTACCTAGTTCTCGTGTTAATAGTGAATATCAAGAAATCAGTGTGTCCTGAAGACCTAAAAACCAGACACCAATAGCAAGATTCAATTACACACTATTTTAGAAAAAAATTGCACAGCTTATTTTTAAATGTCCTCATTTAAGCCCTGACTTTTCATTAATTAATTTGTGGTTGGCAAAACTGACATTTCTCTTCTGGAAATGCAAATGTCTTGCTGAGTTTCCTATAGCTGCTCATGCTAAAAATAAAATCAGAAAAAAAAAAGGGGGGGTAAGAATGCATTGTCTTGCCAATTGGCCTTTAAAACCAAAAGAGGGAACTTTTTAAAATTTTAAAGTTTTGGATTAGTGCAAGTGGTTTAGCCATTTAAAGCAGCAACTGCTCTCAGCCAACATTTGGGAATCCAGCTGATTTGGGTTTGGCTTGTCCTTCAGTGCTGGCAGGGAGGCTGCATTTTGAGACTCTATAATAACTTTATTGTTACACATAAACCAAAAAATAATCTAACATGATTCTCTGGTTATGTCAGCCTGCCAAAAGCAGTGGCAGTAAAAGCCAGTACTGGCTTATTTTTGCAAGGAGAGTAATAAGCAGGAATGGTTAAAGGTCATAGAGCTGAGCAGGAATGACTTTTTTCTATAGCCACTTGTCAGGGGAGAAAAATCAGACATTTTACATACAAATCTGCTCTGTTTCCCTAAACTGTGTGCTTCTGGAAGCAGGAATAAAAAAGGTTATCTGTCTTGGAATCTTTCTTTTAGCCCATTTTACAAAGGGTAGAGTTTTTACTTTGTTCATGTATATTTACTCTTGCAAAGACCAGACTAATATATATATGCTGCAATGGCATAATCCAAAATCTCTTGAAGTTATATCAATGGCCCCTGGATCTGATGCTAAGGAGAACAAGATAGATCCAAGAACTTGTGCCTTTTGTATTCTTGGTGGATATGGCTGAAAGATTTACCTATAGACAAGATGTAGAGTCAAGTATTAAAATTTGGGAAAGGGGCTTGAGGAGGATGAACAGTTTTCACTCCCTTTAATACAAGAGGTGCAAGGCATTTAATGTTGTTCTTTGTTGCATGACATGTCAGGCCCTTCTGTAAGAGAAAATAAAGAGCTCATGATATTTTGTCACCTCCTTGGGAGCCTGGGGTTGAATATAACTCGTAAAAAGCTTCCTGGTCATGGAGATCCTTTTCCTCTGACATGTTATCCTCTTATAAGCTTCACAAGCAAGCCAGAATTCTATATTTTCATCGCTGTGTTCTGTCTTCAAGTAGGTCTTGCAGATCAGAGGCCCATCTGTAAATAGTTTAGAAGCCAAATTTATATAACTTGTATATATGCATTACCTTTGAAGTCCTTTGGAGGCAATAGGGATATTTACAAGGCAGTGTAATTTTTGATTGTACACCTATAAATATTATTATATTTATATAATATATAAATATTATTAGATTATATCAAAAAGGGGAATTAATCACCATATCTCACCCCCACATTTCAACCTTGCATTTTCCTGCATGTGCAATGCTCCCTTTAACTTCAGTGGCATTTCAGTATACAGGGGCAGAGCATGGAAAACTTTGTTCATTCTGGACTCTGTGGAAAAAAATATCCAAAGACTGACAAGTATTCCTAATTTCCAGTTCTAAATTTGTACAGAAAACATCTAAGTGTTAACAAATAACCACGGTCTGAGTAAAAAACCAAGACCATTTTTTGTGCTGTAAGAATCTGGGGGGAAAAGCACTTAGCAAAGTAGAAGGAAGTAACTTTTTCCTTGATGATATAAGCATTTAAAATAATTCTTTCTTTGGCAAATAAGTGGTTCTGCACCTGAGGATGTCTTTGAAACACCTGGCAATGGAGCATATTTGACAGGAGCAATTAGTGGGACCTTGGCAAAGATTAAGTTCCTGAGGCTGCCTTTGTTATGAGGCTTGCTTTGCACAGAATTAGGTGACGGAGTTGCTAAAATGCCTCTATCTAGGAGAATATTTATGAGGCTTCACTCGGTGGCAGACAGTGGAAGTGGTACTTGCAGTTGTAAGATGTGCTTTCAGAGTAAATCCAAGACAGGCAAACACTTTGCCCACTTTTCATAAAGAGCTGCAAATCCACTGGCTTTAGAGTCTATCTTTTTATGTGAGCACACCTTTGCATTTCTTGATGTCATGAAGCTTTGAAATTAATTAAAACTCAACGAGTAGTGCCATCTAAGTACAATGAAGGAGGCATTTTAAGAAGGGCAGCGTTCTGAGTACTGCTGGAAGATACAAGTGTTTTATTTAAAGGAAGCTTTCCTACTTGAGCAGCACTCTGGGCTTTCATATTTCTGAAGACGTTGAGCACTGTCTCTCATCTGGCAGTAGTGGTGATCACACGTGTGCCTGCTGCTTCTGCTGTGATTGTGTCTCTTCAAACTGTTTTCTTTTGTGGAGTTTCTCCCTGTGCTTTCCCTGCAAACTGTAAAATACTAATTTGTTTCCTGTTACGGCTTTTACTGGCAAAATCTTTATAGTCAAAAGTTCTGTCTGTTAACCTTTTTGCTCTTTGTAGTCTGTAGTTTGAAAATAATGTCAGTCCTCAGGAATAATTTTTAGAAATTTGTGCTGTGATGTAACATTTTCGTCAACATTTAAAAAAACCCCAGTAATTTAGCAGTGATGTTCCAGACTGCTGACCATATGAGAAATGTGGGAGAGCTCTGAGCCCTCTGTGAGGCAGAGGGAGGCTGGAGTGGGAAAGGTCAGAATTGCTACTGCAGCTACAGTTCTTCCCGTATCTGAATACTGGAGTGAATTTCCATGGCATCACCCTGCACAGAGGTACTGTTAGGTACAGTGCCTTTGCCGTACATGGGATTTCCCAAGTCAAATTTTCTTTCACTTTTCTGCTAATATAGGTTGTTATTCAGTGCTCTCAGTGGGGATATAGCAGATAAACCTGCCCTCATCCTATGTCTTTAAAAGAATTATGCATGAATGCAGAAATGGCAAGTTTGGGAAAGCATTTACAGCATGCTACATTTATTTTTAGTGCGATGCATGCTAAGCATGTCACACAAAGTTGTTTTTCATTAGTTGCATATAAGGCAGCATATATTGTACAACATGAGTTATTGATTTTTGCTTTGTGGGAATTTTTTTTCAGTAATCCTTCTGGGATACAAACACACAATTACTTACATTTACTTGTTACCAGCTTTTCAAAAGACTGGGATCACTGTAGCACTTCCTCCGAAGACACACTTCAGAAAAAAGGAGAGCATTATTGCAGGATTAACTGTGGTTCAAAGTATTAAAAAATATATTACACTGTTGAAAATCTGTCCCCTAATTTAAGTATGATCTGTATGAAACTTACATTTTAAAAGGACTTCCTGTGTGTCCTAAATCTTGTGTTTATTATAGTGACACAAATATTTTTCTTGCTGCAACAGATATATTGCCTTTTAAAGGGACAGGAATCCCCACAGAGTTTGGGGAATACTGAAGTTTGTATTTAGTAGCAAAGCCTTCAAGGATACAAGATCTTATTGTAATATTTAAAGACCTTTAACATCTAAGCTGACTTATCAGCTGAGAGATGAATATAAGCTCTAAACATAAGGTAAATAATGAAAGGTTGATGCAATCTTAGCTGCAAGGGTACTTTCCATCTCTTTCTAGTTTGTTTACAATGCAGAATGACACATTAGTAATAATCTAGACAGATCTTGGAGGTGACTAAAATCAGATTTTACTTTTATGCTGCTATTCTTAAGCAATGAGTCCATAAGCTTGTAGGAGTCTCCTGCCTGATTCTGGGAAAGAGCATGGAAGTCGTGAGGTGAGAGACTAAACAATTTAAGGAAAAACAAATGTTTGAGGGCAGTAGCTCCATTTGAGTGCACGTAGCTCCATTTTCACCAACTGATTTTTAAGCATTGCAGTTTTAGGACATCAATGCTGGTAACTTGGAAAAAATTCTTATGCTTATATTAGTAGAAGAAAGCACAAGGGATTATGCGCCAGCCAAACCTGGAGGAAGATCCATTCTCATTGAGTATTTACTTTTCATGTGAGCTATAATTGTGACAACAGCTTTTTTTTTGACACAGCACTTCTTAAAAATCTAAATTAAAATTTGTTACAAGTGCTGCACAATGCTGTGTAGATTTCTGCTGCAGAACAGCCATTAGTAGCTTTGTACCTTTTTTAATTGGTGATGACCCATTTATTTTTAATTTGATATAATTATCTTTCTCGGAAAAAGTACATGCTGTGACTCACAGCTTTTGTCAGGCTTTCCTGATTATTCTGATCCCTTCAAAGAAATACACAATAAGAGAAATGTTACCACTGTTGAACTATGGTGTCAATAACTCTCTAGCAACTCTGGCCAGTAAAATAGTTATTTTTTTCCTGCTCATGAGCTATTATTCTTCTCTCTGCATAAACTCATGAAGTGTGTTGTTGTGGGGAGTGCGAATCCTTTGAGTGATTTCTTTTTTTCTCTTTAAGAGCTATTTCTGAGTCATATTCACTGTTACTGACGCAGATAATTTTTCACCTCTGTCAGCAATGGCACTTGTATATAGAATGAGTGACAATCAGGTCTGTCTCACTGAGCATTGTCAGTAGAGCTCTCTTATTTCCATTTCTGATTATTTGTCTTTACCATTAATCTGTGAAGCAGAAAGAACACTGCCCAATGGGGCAGCTGACACAGAGGAAAAGCTTTTTACCTTTTTACTTTCCTTTAAAAATTGGGAAAATGAGAAAGCCAGCAAGGGAATATGAACATGAGTTATGATCTGTATTAATGCAACTTTAATAGCTGTTGTGCTGATAGTAAGAGTCTTGCTGCACTGATTTGCAGCATGATTTAATTTGCTGAAGAATATGTATTACACTGAAAAAAAAATTAGTATTCCACAAAAATAACTAAAGCTTTATAGCTGGAACTCCAAAATTTAAATTGTAGTGTCTTGTGGGAGCTATCATTCACTTATTGTACACCCTCCACTGTGAGTGGCTTTCCTTGACACTGTGGTCCAGAAGTCCTTGTCCAGGAGGCATTGGGTGGTCAGCTGGAGTCATTGGAACATGTTACACTCTTTTGCATGATCTTAAGCTTGCAAAGAAAACTTCCACTGTGAATTTTGAGGGTTTTGTACCTCTTATTCAGCTGCACGTACTGCAGAACATAACTCTTCTCTTTACTTACTTAGAACTGATCCCACTTTCTTCTGCTAAAATATCTTGCAAAGCCAACAAGTATTTGGACTCATTCTTCTAAACATGGAAAATATGTGAGTTTTGAATCTGCTATGCTCAGTTGTGGCCTTCTTAAATAAAAATTGTACATATAGCAGTGCAATCTGTTCTAACAGTATTCTTATTTTATGCATCTGATCTCTGTGTGTGAGTCATGTCTGAAGCATTTGACCAAAATATATTTTTGTAACATATGAGAACTCAAAAAAAAAAATTAAAAATTATCTTTAAGCAGTCCAGTGAATATCTCTTACAGAAGAATAGAAATGTTAATAATTTTCCATTTTAGCTTCTTCAATTGTGAAAAGAGATTAGAGGGTTGAGCCTGACCCAAAGCAGAAGGAAACTAGGAGTCTTCTCCCTGAAAGTTCAGGGTGACCTGAGATCAGAGTTCAATGTAAACTGGACATTGCTGATTAAGTTGTTAAGTGTCAGAGATTAACACTGATATTTGTTCAGCATGTATCTCAAAGTCAATAAAACATTGTATAAAACTTGCTTTTGTATAGAGATGATATCCATAAGAAAGGGTGTAAGTTTTTGTTAGGAATTAGGCAGTTAAAAATATGTTTGTCTAAAAAAGACAAAATTAAAAAAATATCTTGTGGCATGGAAAATGTTTATTGCTTCTCCTTTGGTTTCCAAGCAATGCCGAACACTCTGCTAAGTTTTCACAGGACAGTGAGTAAGTTTGTATAGACCTGCCTGAAATCAAAACAATAGTCTTATTTATCTAAACTCAGAGTTTCTTTCAGGTTTGTGTTTGATTGGCACATATTACTCCTAGAACCAATTTTTTTTCCTTCAAACTGAAACACAGTAAAACACAGGGCAATGCTGTTTCTTTCAGCTTTCTGAACCTGTGAACTATGCACATTTGCCTTTCATCTTATTTTCCTTGTTTCCCTGACATGTATATTGAGTTTTACATTATTTGAGAGTCTTACCCAGTACGTTTCCTACAGGATATTGAAACTTCATATTGAAACTGCTGCACTGCCACTCCTGCTGCTCATGCTCCCTGCAGCCCTATAGAATTGCCAGTGGCCACTGCTTGTTGCCTGCTTTGGAATTCTCTGAACTATGTTCTCTACTTTGTTTCTTTGTCACTTCCTATTCGTTTCGTGAGTATTTATTTATCTCACTCTCTGCCCAAAAGCAGAGTGTCTTTTAAAACTACACAGTATTCTATATTTAAGATGAAGTTGTACATTTAAATTCTGGCATATGGTTATTACTTATCATCTTAGTTTAGACTATTTTACCCAATGCCATCTATTTTGGGTGTTTTCATGTGGCAATCATTAGTCTTCTATTCACTGAAATATAAATGACATACAACCTTGGTGACTGTTTGGAAACATGAAGAAACTCATGTAGGTTGCCTGCTATACAGAAATGCTCAAGAAATATTAGATTAAGCAATGTAATGTAATCTAGTTCAGCTACTTCCATCTAAATTCGAAGTGTCAATCAGAATTTTTTTTCTTCAGGTGGTTTCTGCATGAAATTACTTCTGTGTAAGGAAATGTTATTGTTCTGAGGAGCCATTTTAATTTGAGTGAGAGGCTTTAAGCAAATATTATTCCCCGGGGTTGTTGAGTACACACATTTGTCAAGCATACACATCCAGGGCTTCGTGGTTCTCTCCTCTTATGTTACTCATCTCCTAGTAGACTAAGGAACAGAGCATGCTGATTATATCTTTTCCAGAGCTCTTTGGAACATCTTTTTTCCACCGAAGCATAGTATATGTTTCACTAGTGAGATGCTGTGTGTTTCTGCTGACCATAGTGTTAACCCTAAAATAAGACAGGAGTAGTATGAAAGCTACAACATCCCTTGAGCAGTTTGTTGGTTTTGGATTGTGTAATCTTCACAAGTGCTGCCTGTTGCTTTACCTATATTAATGTCTACTGTAAATGGTAAATCGCATCTTAACTACTCAACACATCTTTGCAGAGTTCACCTAATTAGACTTGGATATTGGGAACTCTTTTCATCCAATCTGTATAAATGACGTGTAGAATCTTTTCTCTTTGCTCATTATGAGGCTTTATTGCAACAAGGCCATAAGTTCTTTTAACATGTAGGACCTGTGCTTCCTGCAGGACCTGTAATCAAACAAAGTCACGTGGCTGCAAGACTTCTGGATAAGGAATTGCCTGACTGATAATCTGTGAATCCCAGTTCATATATGAAGTTATTCATGTCTGTAAAACATATAAGCAGTACTGATCTGGAAATGACCGTTTACCTGTTAACATATTTTATATTGGAGAAACATCAGGAAAACTGATTTAGTATATCAAAGAACAAGATCTATTTACTTTTCAAATTACAACGTGCATTTTGATTTTTTTCACCACCTTTATGCTATGCCAATGAATCTGTAAACTACCTAATGTCACAGTTTTTAGTAAATATCTAGCTTTCAGCTAGCCCTCAGAGAGAAACTGCTATATTAAAGTTTTAACTAATTGCCTCTAATGTTATTCAACTTACTTTGCACTATTACACGAAATATTAATGTATAAATAGGGTTAAAGTTGTTTATACATCAGAAACATTTCGAACATGAATGCCTTTGCTATGATGACATACCTTTTTTCTCTTGGAATGAAAAGTTATTTCCCTACCTTTGCTATACTTTGCTGTTTTAATATATCAAAGTATGAAATCTTATACTTGCACAAACTCTTCCTGTGTTGTTTGTCTTGTTTAAAATTCTTCATTTAGCAGTTCCATTTGTAAGGGTAATTTTCCAAATTTCTTGATCTGTTCTTTTGTTTCATCATTTTCTCATAGCGTAGATAATCTTAGTACCCTTTGGCTGTGCCTGTGCTGCTTGTGTTAGTGCCTGACTCCTTTTTTTTATACCTACATGGGTGAACAGTTGCTGTGGTTTCTATCAGAAAAAGGTCCTTTGATTAAGGGGCAGAAAACATTACTCACAAAACTTAGACAATACATGCAAGATTTCAGTGAAGCAAAGCACAGCTTCATGTCATTACTGCTGATCAGTAGAGATGTCAAGATAATGTCAGTGCAAACAGACTGTCAGTGGTGCATCAGAGTCCAAAGTTCTTTATATGAAATCTAAAGTCCATGTTGAAATGAGACAAAAGGCACAAGCATTGCATTGAAACCAAGTTTCATCTTCCTACAGAGAGCATTATGAAGTGCTTTGGACTACCATGAGTGAAGCTTTATTTTCTGACCCATTAGTGTCAGGCTTTTATGTGCTTCCAACTGGTCAACCTGCTCTTGCACAACATCTGAGGGATGTTAGACCAGAATTCTCTTTAAAATTTTATGAGGTCCCCTGTCATTTTTCTCATAGCTGTTGCCCAGGTTATGGCCGCCTTTTAAATTGGGACTTAGGTTATCTATATTTTGCTTATTCTTCTCTAGCCAGGTGTTTCAAGGCAGCTGTGCAGAGCCATAGCACTGAAGTTGCTGTTTGTGCCAGTGGTAGATTTGTTTGTAGTGGTACTGGGGCTTTGAGAGTAAGTGCTACCTCAACTAATTGCTGCAATTAGTCATGGAAGGGGATATTTCTAGGGAGTTTTCTGTTCTTCCTGGGGTAGGTGTGACTTGTGATCTCTGTGGATTTGCCAGTGCCTACATAGTGCAGACTGACACTGTTGAGAGGGCAAGGTTGGTCATCTCCCTGCTCCGTCCGGCAGCCCAGCTGTGTGCAGTGATATTTCTTTCAATCTTATCTCTCTGTTCTGACTCATTTCTTTTCCTTTTACAGAGCCTCCTAGGCAAAGAATGAGCTGTGTAGAATTGGAACTTCAGTTGAAGCTTGAGCCTACAATAATACAGTGCACTCATTTATTTTATTGCAGCTCACCCTACTGGTATGCAGCCTTTGTGTGTGAGGATGTACATCCGTTTCCCTACAGTAAGGGTTCTGCTAGGGAGGAAATGTGTGTGGTATGCTCACCCACAGCAGAACCTTGTGTTTGAGCAGGGCAGCATCAGACACATGAGACTTGGCCTGTGCTCATGGAAGGCAAGGACAAATATCCCCACGTGATCTATTTTCTATGGGTTGCTATTTCATTAACTCTTATTTTGTATTCTTCATAATTTTACACAGGACTTTGGAGTATTTTATTCTATTTCTATATTGGGAAGGGGCAAATATCTATGCAATGTGAGTGAGCTGATTATTCAAATAGCCACAATAGTGACATGTTTTGACTTTCTCACGTACCTCCTCAAACATCATACTTCTAAAGCCTCATATAGAGACATATAGAGTTATATACTAAAAGCATCTGAGGGCTGGAATTTGACAAGCTAAAAATGGCTATAAACAATTTCATTTGTAGAACTGCTTAAAGTTAAATAAGAAAAAGAGCAGCATGTTAATAATGGCGGCTCTGGAGAAGTTACAGAATGAAAATCCCAATTATATTGATAGTCTCCAGTAGTGATTTGAACCAATATTTAACTATTTGATTTACATATGTTTTGTAAAAACCTTGTATGCATAGACAGGTAGATATGCAAGTTCTTTTGCAAAAGCCTAAATCTGTCTTATTTTTGTAATAAATTTCATTGGCATGAAATGATAGCTCATCTAAAATCTCAGTATTAAAATTAATGATAATGAACTATTTAGAGCTTTTTTTCTATCAAATGATGTTCAGGAGACCATATGTAACCAGATATGACATATCTTTGTAAGTTTAAATTGTGCAGAGACTGAGGATCAGTAACCAATGACTTTGTGTTCACATATTTTTGTTTTACATATTACAGACATAAAGAAATAGTGTAATATTTTTTGAATTGAAATAAACTTGTTTTGGGGTTTTCTCTCTAAGTTTGTTTTTACTATTGAGTTGAAGAAAATACTTTTGCAAACCTCTCTTGACTTGTACAGTGGGAGGATGTTTAGGTACAAGACTTGTTGCTTATTTCATATCTGCATTTTTGTTGTATTCTTGACCGTGCTCTAAAGCATCATTTGAAATGTAATGGTTGTCTGCAGGCACCT